TTAGCAGATACAACCTACATTAAGTCAATCGATTAAAACCACTGAGTGTTAGAACGATCAGCAGAGCTTTATTTTACTGCAAAGTAGGATTATTTTATTTTTATCTAAAAATCTAATTCTGCTGTGGAGCTGCAACAGGGCAGTAAAAGAGCCAGGTCGAGGTATAATGAACTCATTTATTTAGTAAGTCAAATTATGTACGTTTTAGGATTTCTGAGAGCTGGTGGAAGTGTGTAATTCCATGCAACACGTGGAAGAACATTTTTAATGTTGGTTGTGCTCTGGTCCCCTTCCCCAGGGGGATGAATCTGATGAATGAAGTGTTGAATGAGGATTCAAAGAGAACTACTACTGTCATCATATCTTCATAGGCACAGTGTTGACTCTGCCATTGTGATGTAAACACTGAGGCAGGCCTTCTTTTTGAGCCTGATGTAAATATGTAAAGACGTATGATGTGGTTCGAAAACCTCCCACAAAGTCTGTCCCGACATGTCTGACTTTTAAATTATTATTTCAGACTTTACAGGGTGACTCACAGTAGAGCACACACACCACACTTTACCATGTTTTTTCCTCCTGTCTCAATAATACTACCTACTTATTTCAACACTTCTTTCAATTGTCCATTTTTTTAAGCAATTACATTCTGATATCGATATGATTCTGATATCACAGTACATGCCTAATATCAGGGGTGCCCAATCCTGGTCCTGGAGATCTACCACCCTGCGGAGTTTAGCTCCAACTCTAATCTAACACACCTGATCCAGGAAATCAAGGCCTTCAGGAGCGTCTCGTTATAAGAGTTGCTGGGTTTGAACTCTCCAGGACCAGGATTGGGCACCCCTGCCTAATACTAACAGTACTGAATTAAGTGTTGCATTGTTTGCTGCTTTTTCCCTTCCACTTTAATTCTAATCTCCTTCGCCTCCTCTTGTGTATACACAAAAGCTCAAGCTGCGTCTGCTCTTTTCTCATTTCTTCTCTCTCTCCACACCCAGACTCCACACTAATAACAGCTTATTCACTCAATGCCACTATTCATCATATTAAACTCTTCTTTGGTAGCATCCTTCTCTGCCCAGGCAGTCTCAAATTACTGGAATAAAGAATTTGAAAGAGGTTTCATTTCATTGATTAAATCACGCATATTTGCTACATTTCTCAGGAAAATGATTAATTAAATAGATTTGCATAGTGTTTTGCTGTCTTCCTGTGACAGTTGGGGTTGCATGAGTCAGTAAGAGATGCATTTGATTTGAATATGAAACAGAATTGTAATAATGCACGAGCGCGATGCGGTGCTGGTGCTGGAGGAGCTGACCGCGGTATGATCCCTCAATGGCAACTACACTGCCACTCAACCTAATCCCTAATGCAGTTATTTTAGTGCACAATGTTCTTCAGAAACGGTACTGAAACAAGCAACAATCTCCGCAGAGAAAGACAAGGAGAAATAGCAAGAGAGTTTAACCCTGGGCCTTAATTCAGGGGCTGTTTTATATCAATTGTCATAACCTGATGAATGCTGAGCTTCAGTAAAGTGTTACCAACTTCCTTTTAAGAGGCGATTTTGAGCTCACTATTGATTTTTGAATTCACATTGATTTATGACATTTACACTATAATTACGAGGGCTTTTTTTGACCTTGTATTTGTGTTTTAAGGTGCAATAATTCAGAATATGGGGACATTCCCGCCTTTTGCCCTTGGTGATGTCCTACCCCTCACCATTGAATAAAACCTGAAAAAACTTTCACTCCTACTTTTCCCCCTTATAGGTCTTGCTTGGTTTGTTGGTCATTATAAAAATTTCAGTAGCCCAGTGAACAATTTAAGCACACTGGTTATTAATCAGATAATTAAATGTATAAAAATATTTTAAAAACCATCTGGAAGCTTTTTAGACTGGCTTTACATGCAACTTTACGCATAATGTAAAGAATCCAACAGCTTACTTGAAACTCAGCCACAACAGTTGCGAGCGTTTCAACTTTGTGAAACAAGTTTCATTATGACATCCAATCAAAATGCAGATAAGGCTTGATGTGATCATGTCAAACATACTTTAAAGCAACTAATTTCACAGCACCAGCTCGCCAAACGCAGGCAGTCTGTAGCACAGCAAGCAAATAATCATGCAATGTTTGGGGTAGCGAAGTAAGCTGCTAGTTTAGCTGCTTGGCTAAGCAGTGCTACACACTGCAGCCACCGGTGCTAGTAACGGGCTATTTAAAACACCCACACACTATTAGCCCTTATGCAGCAGTGCCTAGCTAGCGAAGTGCCTAATTTAGAACCATCTGTGTTACAGAACCACACAAATACAGTCACTCTGAGAGCGTGCAGTGGTTGGGTGGGTGTTGCAGAAACCTGCAGGAATCCCTAAGGGCCCCCAAACTGGGATTTGAACCAGCAACCCTTCGTTTCCACAAATCCCCTGTGCTTGTGCAGGCGAGTGTGTTTGAGCGTGTGCGTGTGTGTGTTTCAAGCAGAGATATTTTCTGTGTGTCCCAGAAATCACATGTGTCAGCATCCCCCTGAGTGCTGCCCTGACCACCACAACACACACACACACACACACACACACACACACACACACACACAGCTGCTGTCCCTCTTCAGTAGATTTATATGCAGTGAATCAAAGACAGCTCTGCATGACCACCCACTGTCCTCCATTTCCTTCTGTTTTTCACATCTCATCTGAGCACACAGACACACACACACGTGCATGAGCACACACACACATACACTCACGCACACACACACACTGTACTCTGTCAGGCCTGTAAAACAGCTCAGTTTTCTTACTGCAAATCAGACAGAAGCAGCCCTCACCATTAACCCGTAGCTTCTTTCTTTTATTGCCCTGCCATTATCCAGCTCCGCAGTGACACACTGCTACTGCGACTGGCACACACAGTGAAGGGTCCCGAGCACACACACACACACACACACACACACACTCTTCAATCCACTCACAGCCTGATCCGCTCATCAACACACTCCTTATTAGGGCTGTCACTAAATATCAGTAATGTACGAATATTTTTGATGATTAATTTACTAACAGGACTTAAAAAAAAAGGATTTCAACGAACAACAACAAACCATGCATGGATTTCATAATGCATAAAAATAAGTGCACCCATCAGGTTGGTTTTTACTGTAGGAAAGACAAGTAGGAGTATATATGCATTAGAAATCTGAGTTGTGTCAAAGTATATCTAAGTAATATGTTTATGTGATAAATTATTAACGCCTCTAATAAATGCTGTCAACATATTTTCCTAGATGGACCCTTTGAACCATCCACAGTTCCACCATGAAGCCTAGATGCTTGCTCAGATAGCTCTTGTTCAAATACAGCTTTTAAATTGCAAGATTTCCACCGAAGCCTGTCTTGATAAAAACAAAAGTTGTTTCCAGCTGGTACATTTATCACTGAAGGATGCTGGATCATGAATAAGAAAAAATATATAGATATCAGTAATTTCAGTAACATTAGCACTGGTGGATGCCTAAACTGGACAGTGTCTGTGGGAAAGAGCTCCACTTGCCCTCAAAACAATATGTAACTATGAGAGTGAGACGACTACAATCACTGAGGAGCTGCAACATGCAGTTATTGTTGCCTTCACTGGACGCTGGTGACAAACACTCTAGTGTTTCCAATATATGAAATGTGTGTGTGTGTGTGTGTGTGTGTGTGTGTGTGTGTGTGTATATACGACAGATACAGGAAATGAAGATACGTAGTGACACCCAACCCAGTCTTCCTATGTCTAAGCACCTGACTAGTGTGAAAGACAGGCAGAGAGAGAAGAGATAAAGGTAGATTAGACAAGCTAACGTTAAGTTAGATAGACTTTACAGTTTAAAAGATCATTCACAATGTAATACTATTCTCTGTTGATGTTCAAAGCCAACTAACTGGATACCTGGATTGTGGGCCTGCCCTCACTGCTGCTGAAAAATATCCTAGAGGCAACACTGCACAGTATAGATTTTCATGTTCAGGTTCAGCTGAACTCTATTCACACCACAGAAATGATGTTATTGAACTATTGAAAGTAATTACATGCTAATAAAGCTCATTTTGTCAACTCATATAGCTGTAACACGATGCACTGCTTTTTAAATCAATAAAAAAAAATCTTCCTTTAGGGTCGCATTTGCACAAATAAGACAAATGCAATTAATTGTGAATAATCATATTAAATAATGTGATTAATAATGTGAAATATGCATTATTATATCATTATATTATATCTTTATGCAACTGCAAATTAAAAAAGAAAGGGATTTTTTATAATTGATTTTATTTTATTTATTTTTTTTAAGTCAAGTAATGATAGCTTTCCTATCCTTAAAGCGCTAATGCTGCCGGACTGCAGCACTGACCTCAAACTAGCACAGAAGAGATCAGCCGTTGCTTCTGTTCATCTCTTGCCCTCCTGTAATTAGCTAACAACTCAGCCCCGCCCTCTCGGTCTGCAGCCGTCTGCCAGACCAAATCAAAAAACAGCTGCCTGAGCAGCGTGCCACACAG